CAAGCAAATTTCACAATGTTGAGTGGACATTTGCCTCTAGATCCCGAGAAAGTTTTGTTAGAATCGCCTAAAACGGTAAGTTTTTTCGGCTTAGTACACATTGACCTTAAATCAGAACGTCATTCCCAACTGCCTTTTAAAAATCCGCGTTTTTCAAATCAAAGCAAGTAACAATTTGAACTTTGCACAATTGTGAAAAACTTGGTTCTAGACATGCGGAAAGTTTCATTAAAATCGCGAAAAACATTTTTTTGCGCTGAAGAAACATTGGTTGTAAAATAAAAGCCTTAATCCAACTGCGCTCTCACTTTCAAAAATTTGGATCTTTCAACCCGAAGCAAGTAGCAATAGAAAATTTTCAAAATCGTTCGACCATACTTGACGCTACTAATGATGAAAGTTTCATAAAATTTCCCGAGAATCCCATTTTTTTTCGGCTTGGTAAACATTGATCATAAAATAATAGTTCCGGGCTCGGGCCTCAACTGGGCTCACCGCGCTGTAAAATTCGCATCTTCTGATCCGAAGAAAGTGGCAACTGGAAATATCCTCCATGTGCAGAGGATATCGAGTGCAAAAAGCGCTGGAAGATTCATTAAAATCCCCTGGAACCCATTTTTTTTCGTCCCAGGGGGATGAAATAGACGGTCTTGCTCAACTGCGCTCATGCTTGTAAAAATTCGGGTTTCCTCAACAAAGGCAACTAGCAACAGAAAATTTTCAGAACATTCAGACGATGCTTGACTATACCAATGCTGACCGTTTGTTAAACATTCCCTAGAATCCTTTGTTTTTTCAGCTTAGTGAACATTGATCTTCAAATAGAAGCCTTTTCCAACAGCGCTCTTGCTTTTAAAAATTCGCATCGTTCAACCCGAAGCAGACACTGAGAATTATCGCGATCTTCAGCCGACATTTGGCTCCAAAAACGGCTGAAAGTTTCATTAAAATCCAGCTTAATCCTAATTTTTTCCCGGCCAAAAACAGATGCCAACCGAGTCGCTGAAGAAATATGAGGTCCTAATAAGGAAGCCCTGATATAGGAAATCGTCCTGACGATAAATTTTCGATAGTCCGCAAGTCGCCATTGTTTTAAAGGCCCCGATGCGAACAATCGGACTTTACGGCACATTTGGGCGCCAGTTTGTTATCGCCCCAAATAATAACTTTATATCATTATGGAATTCGGGCATGTGAATGCAGTTCGCGCAGTAGAAATATCTACGAAGAGATCCGAAAAGAACGAACATTCTGATTAATTCGCTATTATAAACCAACACTCTATACATACCGAGAGCATGCAATTGAAAATGCTGGCTGCGGTTCAGACGTAATGCAGATTATTCGTGCATTGTTCGAACATAGAGGGTAATTGGTATAACATAAATCAGGTTTAGGTAATTACCTGAATTGTATTGGCGTTCTGTTGGCATCTGATTGCCTTCAATGCGATCCAAACAATGCGCCTCCAGGTTTCAAATTCGAGCACACTTTTCTCAATTTCGGCAGTTTTTTGGGGAATTTACGCAGTAGCTGAACCGCACTAATTAAGCCATTAAAGCGACCAGCAGTAAAACAAGCAAGTAAATATGTCAGCAGCACTAAGCAGCAGAACGATCGCTTTGTTAGGTTTTATCAACGGCGCATTTATTTGAGTTATCGTAAAAGCGAAGGGCCACTTGAGTGGCGACTATAACCGAAAATCCATAAATACAGCCCTTAAAACAAGTGCGTTTAAAAATATTTCGTTTTCCTGTTGGCGCAATATCGTTTCACCAGCAGTAAAATAACGCATAAATTTGCGAAGAAGGTAGACAGAGGCTTTGGCTCCTTATTTATGGGGCATTTGCAAAAGACATAAGCATACAGAATAAAGTTGGGATTTCGCTGAGAAACTCAGGTTTCAACCATCAAGAGTAAATGTTATGTAAGAAGTTGCTGTTTTGTCCTGGCTATGGGGACCGTGTTTGGATGCCATCCGAATTTTTGCTGTTGTGCGATATGGGAATTTTTCGCAATAAAACCCCATGTTTCATGTTCATGAGGACATATTTGAGTGAAAGCTCAAATATGTTTCAGGAAACGCAAAGTGGTTCATTGGCAAGGCAAATTGAGGTGTTCGGCCTTAAAAGTTTCACACAGAAGACGCAAATAGTTTGTGAAAAGCTCGCTATTAACACAAGTTTTTAGCCATAGTAATGACCATTTTAAGCAACACTGTGTATTCTGCTTGTGGGTTCATAGCAAGAAGGCATTTTCGGGGCAATGAAGACATCAAAGCGATTTGTATAAACAATGCGTGTTGCATGAATAAAATTAAAGGAAATCAAGACGTAAAATTAATTAAAGCTGGTAGGCTTCATGCGGAAAACAAATCGCAGGCTTGAAAACCGGCGCACTATTTCAAATTGATTAAAAGCCATCTGTTTTGGAAATCCTGAGAAGAATCCATTCGTTTTCTGGCGAATAATTGAGTAATTTTTCTCCTTCCAAACTTGCTCAAAAGCAAAGCCGCCATTTCCTTGGGGGATATTGAATTTTTTCACCTCTGGCAAAAGGTAGACTGGCAAGTCCATTTGTTTTATTGCCGGTGAAATTTCAATCTTGAACCTCTTTTCAATCGGATTCTGCCTAGTCACCGTGTTCGGTACCAACTCATTACTTTAATCAGTGCAGCTCAGTGGTCTACTAATAAATTCTTAGGCCCTAATAAACCCGTTACATCGATTTCGAAACGCAAGTCATGACATGACTTTATTTGTTGCCGTGTCTTCGCATCCATCAAATGACCAGGAAGACTCATTTTGCAGTGGCGGCACTTTATGTTTCTTCCAGAAGCAATGGCCTAAGAAACGTGCAGATTATTTCTCTCAAAGGCCTGCTTGTAGGCCTTTGCAGCAAAGGTAAATAGTCGGAAGAAGTAATGCACCGGAATTTTACGACTGAAATTAGTTCTTCTTATACCTGGACTGCTGGTGAAAGGCTCTATTGAAAATCCCAGTWTTCTTAAAGATCGCATTTCATCCCATTCCTCTTATCATTTTCCAGGAACAAGAACCTTGGGGCTCCTGAATTGTACATTAATCTATCAAAAATGCTACTGATGTGTCGGACATTYTCAATTTMTTTGCATGCAATTTTCAAYTGAATCTACTGCACTCTTGCTCTTGCTMTAAAAATTCGCATCTTTTAAACTGAAGCAAGTAGCGATCGGATTCAAATGTTATCTGCCCTACTAAACATWGATCTTAAAACAAACGCCATCAGCCAATGGCGCTCTGGGTTTTAAARATTCGCATCTTTGCAACYAAAGCCAGTAGCAATGGGAAAGTTTCACAATCCTTAAAACACACTTGGMTCTAAMGACGCTTAAAGTCTCAKAAAAGGCWACAATAATCTGGATTTTTGCCGGCTGAGTAAAGTTCAGTGTTAAAATCAAAGCTCTTACCCAGCTGCGCTCTCTTTTATAAAAATTCGTATCTTCCAAATCGAAGCAAGTGGCAATTGAAAATTTTTCCGCTTTTCACTTTACTCTAAACATGCTGAAAGCTTCTCTAAAATTGCGTT